TATACGCGCGAATTTCTATTAAATATATTCGATCATATTTCTAACATTTTCATGATGATTAAAGGACAAAAGAAATAAATATCCACTCATAAGATGCAATAAAAGAAATGAAATAATTTTAAATATTATTCGAACTGTCACATCGATGAATAGCTTTACTAAAAATTCATACGCGATTCGAGTTCTGTGACCTGAAGAAATTGAGATCTTCTGACAATCAAATAATACTTAACAATATCAAAAATATAAACATGATAATTTTCTTTCTCATATGAATTATTTTTCTCACGAATATAATTCATAATTTTAATGTTACCAAATAATACAAATATTTTAATAATTGACTTACCATTTTTTATTAAACAGAAACCATATCCGAAGTCCGAAGACACTTAGAGCTACGGTTGATTATGGACGCACAGAACACGTTACATCGACTTTGACACACTTCTCGCGAACCTCGGGAAAGTAACCAAATTATTGCTTTCTAATATAATAGAAATTTGAACGATGTTTTCTGTGATTATAGCGAAAGAGCACTCGCGAATAAACAGAGTTCAATTCTACGACTTATTCAAATGAATGACATTAGAATACACCAAAACAGTTGCTCACCGGTTAACATTTAGAAAAACTATCCGTTTACGTCTTACAACTCCAAACATCCGAAACAGACTGGCTGCTTCCTTTTCGAATCATAATTTATCTTCCAAAAGTTCCGTAAGGAGGCAGCACAAAACAAAGATGCGCCATATTTAACCGTCAATAAGAGCGCTTTCGTTTAAATAATACTCTAATCAAAACAAAGCAACTTATGTATTGAAATTCTTTTTCTCTTTTAAATATCTATTTTTTAAATATCTATAATATTTGGAATATTTAATAATATTATGATACGAAAATAATCTGTTTAATTAATATTAATCAAGAATTTTTTCAAAAATGAAAATATTATATACAAAAAATTACTATTGAATAAAATTGAATTCGAATTTTTATTCTGTATTTCATTTAACAATTTATATAAATAAAATATTATATTTAATAAGAAAATTCTAAAATTAAATTTCTATTCTATTAAAATAATTTCTAAAATATATTGTATATGATTTTCATTAATTATTAATTTTTATTACAACACAAATTTATTACATTACAACACAAATTTTATTCAATATTATACTAATATCCTCATAGATATATAAATATTATAACAAATCATTTTTATATGATTCTTTTCATTTTATGAACGATTAGAACTTCAAATTGATCTCTCCAAGCAAAAAAAGCAATCGGCATCAATAAAATCAATTATTCTTAAATAAATGGAAGATTATAATTAAGAATTAAAATGTAAGCCAACAATGATCAAGAATGATCATTGAACAAATAATTGTATTATATATTATTTGTTATAATATAATAAAAAAAAAATAAAACAAACAATAAAATATAAATAATTTTTACTAGAGATTCTTTTTGTTTGTTGAATTCGAAATTGTGAAACTAAACCATTATATTTTCTTAAAATGAATTATACAAATTTTATTTTTAAATCTATTCCTAAAGAAAATATGCAAAAAATAATACATTTATATAGCAATTTTTTTTACTATATATTTATCTATCTAATCTATTCTATTTTTTGAAATAATAATTAAGATAATAATAAATATAAAAATAATACTTAATTTAATTTAAATTTAAAGAAGAAAATAAATACAATTTGTTATCATAAATTTGCAATTTTTATAACATAAGACTACAAAAGTTTAAAGCATTCTAGCAGAAAGTTTAATAAATAGAAAATTAAATTACTTGTTCTACGTAAAATTTTATGTATAAAATTCTGTAATTGATTGTATCAAATATATTCAATTATTTTTGAATTCATATTTCTTATTTTATAATGTAAAATTAAATAAGTTTGAAAAGTATTAGCTATTAACTTTATTATATAAAATTTACAAAATATTAATTTAAATCATATACTATAAATAGAATAAACACTTATACACATATTCTTAAAAACATTTTCAATTAAACTAATGAATTTACTTTATTTAATTCCTTTCGTAATTGAAGTCAATGCTCTGTATTATCAAATAATTAAAGCATGAACTACGTTGTTCAAGAATAGAAAACATAACGAAGTTCAAGTTCTCAATATGTATTAAATATTTTATTCTAAATTATATATGAATTATAATATTTATTTTATATTTATTCAAAATTTTAATTGAAATATTATATTTCATATATTAAATTTAAGTTAATATTTATAATAAATGAATAAATGACTAGTATATGAATAATACAAAAATAAAGATGAATACTAAATTCTGATCGAAATATCGAAAAGTTAGACAAAACAATTTACATGTCGTTAAAAAAAATAATGATGAATTTACTATATTTGTAATATAAAACAAATACACGAATTATATAATTCTATCTTTCAATCGTTTCAAAAAATTTACGGTAACAAACGTTACCAACCATGCTCGCAAATATTCTATGCAATGGTTCATGCCGCTAGAGCTCGTGGTTGACGACCAAATAAGCAGCAGCGCAGTATTAATCTGACATTAATCGTAATTCTTCTCTCAAAGTAGAGAAGAGGTACCTTTCTTCAAATTTTCGTATAATATTCTTCAAACTACTGTGATCGATTGATTCGAAAAAATGCCGCGCGGTAAGCGCACAAATTATTATTAATTTTCACTTGATACACTTATCATCTTCTTTATCACACTTATTGGCAAGGAAAACGCAGTTTCGTATATTTTGACCTCGAGAAACGAATTTGGATCAAAAGATAACTTTTTTTAGGTAAATATGTCAGTTACAAAGGCCGGAGTCGTCACTTCACTAACCCCGAGGAACTGGAGGAGCAACGACGCCAGGAGGAAAAAAAACTCCAATGGAGAGTCAGTATTTTTAAGTTAACCAACAGCACGACGGCTTAGATATTATTGTTAAGTACGTAAGGTCGAATTATCCTTTGACGGTCGAGCGTGATTGCGTGCACCATTACTGAGATTTTTCACGGAGCACAATACTCCATGTTGGTGCAACTTACTGTTTGAGAGACCGGGCACAAACCTTCAGAAATTCTTAAGAATCAAAAGCGATGGACAGAGCTTAAGATGATTCATTTCATCTGTTCTTTCCACTTGCATTTGTTCTTTCGAAAAAATGTTACATAAATTTTACTTAGGGGGCTGGTAAATAGAAATTCATTAATATAAATGAGAAGCTTCATATTTAAAAGTTATAATAATATTGTTCTTTTTAGAAAAATAAAGGAAAGGATAGCTCTAGTGATGAGGATGAGGAACCCAAAGCACATGGTGATTCAATAAAAAATCATAGTTCTTCAGGGACAGATACTGAAAGTGAATCCGAATCAGAATCTGAAACTGAAGTAAGTTATTTAATAAAATATAATAATTTATAAATGATAATGTTAATTTTTTTAATTTATAGGGAAAAACAAAGGGTGTAGAAAATTTAATTCAAGTTGAAAATCCAAATAGAGTTCAAAAAAAGGCAAAAAAATTATCCCAATTAAATCAATCTCTAGACTCAGCAAAACCAGATTTATCTCGGAGAGAACGGTACAAATTTATGACATATAAAAAAATATATATATTCTAGATTTCATGAATTTTTCCTTTTCTTCTTTCAGAGAACAATTAGAAAGACAAAGAGCATATGCAAACTACCAGAAATTACATGCGGCAGGTAAAACGGATGAAGCACGTGCGGATTTAGCACGATTAGCTATAGTTAAACAACAACGAGAAGAGGCGGCTAGAAAACGAGAAGCCGAGAAGAAACAGAAGGAGCTTGCCCTTCAGAGAAAAACGGAACTTAGGCAAAAAGCACTCGGCAAAAAATCCTAGAACGTTTCATTTTGATCAATTATAAAATATTTGATGTCACAGCAATTATTACATTAACAATGATGAACAGTTTAAAATCTACTTTCATATTGATACTAAATAATTAAATCGATTCACGCATTTACAATATGCGTTTGATGAAAATATCCTTGTTTAATTATATATAAATACAATTATTACAATAACTGAACTTATTCATGTTTTATTTTACTCCTACAATTTTTTTTAAATAATCGCTAGAAACCAATAAAATATTAATAATTAATAAAAAAAATGGAATCGAATAATTAAATATTTTAAATTGTAAATTATAGAAAAAAAATACAAATATAAGTACTACTAAACTGTTAATAATAATAAACTTCTATAATAATAATGATAAAATTAAAATTAGTTAATACAAAGTTCACGGATTTAATAATATGTAGTATATATGCATGCTGAAAGAACAGAAGTGATATAGAACGTAGTAGAGTTTCTGCAGCAAAACTTACAAGATGTGGTCCGATATCGTTTATGTTTCGCTGTTATTATTTTGTGTATTTATCGGATTTTATTATCGAAAAATTGAAAATCCACATGTAAAAAAATGGATCGGCACAATTATTGGTATTGTAGTGATGGCAATTTGTTCTGGAAATTATATACTTTATCCTTTCATGCTTACTCTGATTAATGCGATTATCATAACCAAGCTTTCGTCAAAGTATGATATATTACTTAAATTTTTATATATTTGTTTATTAAATTAAAAGTGTTGTATTTTATTTTAATAGATATCATATAACGATCTTCATGTTATCAAATTATATATATTTAAAACAATTGATAATTTATCACATTTTATTCGATAATATAATTTTATGTTTTTAAATTATAAATAAAATAAAAATTTATTATTCTAAATATATTAATATTATAATAATATTTGATAATATTCATTTAATTCTTAAGAGAAATAATAAGTTATTTTAAAAAAAGAATTCATTATTATGCAACGATTAAATTTCAATGAGTAATT